AACTACAGGATCTTAATGAGACATTTTTTACTGAGACATCCTGAGATCACCTGAGGTGTCAGCCCTGTGCCATAAAAACACGAACTTGCCAAATTATGACCACTGCAATATACAGTGCTAAGAAACAGCACTTCCTGGTTTGGAAGAATATTTTGGCATATTTGTCACACGTACATGTTTCAGATCATTAAACACATTTGTAATGTTAGACAAAGATAAGCTGAGTAAATATGTAGTTTTTGACTGATCATTTCATTTTTTAACAAACAAACAAAAGTTATCCACTTAAACAGAACCAGTCTGACAAAGTGAAGTCGGCTAAAGATCTCCAAAAGTAACACATCATGGGACAATCTAAAGAAACACATGAACTCCAGTGAAGCACTGTGAGAGCCATTATTCACAAAAGGAGAAAACGTGGAACAGTGGTGAACTTTCCCAGGAGTGTACGGCCTCGCATCAGCAGCTCATGGCATGAAGGGGGTCGCAGAAGAACCCAGAACAAGATCAAATGAACTGCAGGTCTCACTTTCCTCAGTGAAGTTCATGATTCAAGAATAAGAAATAAGAAAGAGACTGGGCAAAAATGGCATCCATGGGAGAGTTCAAGGAGAAAACCACCGCTGACCACATAGAACACAAAGGCACACATTTGAAAAACCATGTTGATGATCCCCGAGACTTTGGGGGAAATATTCTGTGGATTGATGACACAAAATCTGAACTTTTTGGAAGGTTTGCATAAAAAGAACATAATACCAGCAGTCAAACATGGTATTGTTATGTTCTGGGGCTGATTTGCTGCTTCAGACCCTGAACAACTTGCTGCAATTGACAGAAACATGAATTCTGCTCTTGACCAGCAAATTCTGAAGGAGAATATCAGAAGCTCGAGCTCACCAGAGTTACATAGCAGAACAGTGATCAATATTTTGTTTTAACTGCGATAAGATCAAAGCTTTAAGTAGAATTAGACTGTGCCTGACCAATTGGTGTAAAAACTTTAAGGCCCAGAACTCGTGACTGTACTGCCTTACTTTGTTCTAAAGTTTTTCAGGGCGGGATCTCATCTGTCAGAGGTGAACCAGCCATCCATCCTCCGCTGTTTTTATTTTTTAACAAAATTCTCAAAAACATGCACAAAGTCTTTATCTCCACATTTGTATTGCTAGTTAAACCACATCCAAACAGTTTTCTCACACAGTGTCCCTGCTCACACCGAGGACAAGGCCAAGTATCTGTAGGCCACCCCACGGTGTCCCTGTCACGGCGAGTGAGATGAGCCGTGTGGAAAATAAAGGAGGATCCAAACGCAGGCACTTGTAAAGGTGTGATGGTGGTTTATTAAACAC